CACCACCCCTACCACTCCTCGACAACCCACCCCCTACCACTCCCTGACACCACCCCTACCACTCCCTGACACCACCCCTACACTCCGACCCCCCTCCCTGACACCACCCCTACCATCTACCCCCTACCACTCCTCGACACCACCCCTACCATCCCCTACCACTCCTCGACACCACCCCTACCATCCCCTACCACTCCTCGACACACCACCACCCTACCATCCCCTAACCACCTCCATCCGACACACCACCCCTACCATCCCCTACCACTCCCTGACACCACCCCTACCGCCCCTGACACCACCCCTACCACTCCCTGACACCACCCCTACCACTCCCTGACAACCACCCCTACCAGTCCCTGACACCACCCCTACCATCCCCTACCACTCCCCTACACCACCCCTATCATCCCCTACCACTCCCGACACCACCAGTACCATCCCCTACCACTCCCGACACCACCCCTACCACTCCCTGACACCACCCCTACCACTCCCCGACACCACCCCTACCATCCCCTACCACTCCCCGACACCACCCCTACCATCCCCTACCACTCCCCGACACCACCCCTACCATCCCCTACCACTCCCCAACACCACCCCTACCATCCCCTACCACTCCTTGACACCACCCCTACCACTCCCGACACCACCCCTACCATCCCCTACCACTCCCCGACACCACCCCTACCATCCCTACCACTCCCCGACATCACCCCTACCATCCCCTACCACTCCCCGACATCACCCCTACCATCCCCTACCACTCCCCGACACCACCCCTACTATCCCCTACCACTCCCCGACACCACCCCTACCATCCCCTACCACTCCCCGACACCACCCCTACCACTCCCTGACACCACCCCTACCATTCCCTGACACCACCCCTACCACTCCCTGACACCACCCCTACCATCCCCTACCACTCCTCGACACCACCCTACCATCCCCTACCACTCCTCGACACCACCCCTACCATCCCCTACCACTCCTCGACACCACCCCTACCATCCCCTGCCACTCCCCGACACCACCCCTACCATCCCCTACCACTCCCTGACACCACCCCTACCACTCCCTGACACCACCCCTACCACTCCCTGACACCACTCCTACCACTCCCCGACACCACCCCTACCATCCCCTACCACTCCCCGACACCACCCCTACCACTCCCCAACACCACCCCTACCACTCCTCGACACCACCCCTACCACTCCCTGACACCACCCCTTCCATCCCCTACCACTCCCGACACCACCCCTACCATCCCCGACATCACCCCTACCATCCCCTACCACTCCCCGACACCACCCCTACCATCCCCTACCACTCCTCGACACCACCCCTACCACTCCCTGACACCACCCCTACCATCCCCTACCACTCCCCGACACCACCCCTACCACTCCTCGACACCACCCCTACCACTCCCCGACACCACCCCTACCACTCCCCGACACCACCCCTACCATCCCCTACCACTCCTCGACACCACCCCTACCACTCCGACACCACCCCTACCACTCCCCGACACCACCCCTACCATCCCCTTCCACTCCTCGACACCACCCCTACCACTCCCCGACACCACCCCTACCACCTCTCGACACCACCCCTACCATCCCCTACCACTCCCCGACACCACCCCTACCATCCCCTACCACTCCCTGACACCACCCCTACCACTCCCTGACACCACCCCTACCGCTCCCTGACACCACCCCTACCACTCCCTGACACCACCCCTACCACTCCCTGACACCACCCCTACCAGTCCCTGACACCACCCCTACCATCCCCTACCACTCCCCTACACCACCCCTATCATCCCCTACCACTCCCGACACCACCCCTACCATCCCCTACCACTCCCGACACCACCCCTACCACTCCCTGACACCACCCCTACCACTCCCTGACACCACCCCTACCAGTCCCTGACACCACCCCTACCATCCCCTACCACTCCCGACACCACCCCTACCACTCCCGACACCACCCCTACCACTCCCTGACACCACCCTACCACTCCCTGACACCACCCCTACCACTCCCTGACACCACCCCTACCAGTCCCTGACACCACCCCTACCACTCCGACACCACCCCTACCATCCCCTACCACTCCCGACACCACCCCTACCACTCCCTGACACCACCCCTTCCAGTCCCTGACACCACCCCGACCATCCCCTACCACTCCCCGTCACCACCCCTACCACTCCCCGACACCACCCCTACCATCCCCTACCACTCCTCGACACCACCCCTACCACTCCCCGACACCACCCCAACGATCCCCTACCACTCCCGACACCACCCCACCATCCCAGCATTCCTAACTCATACATGTTCAGTCGTTCTCTGCTACAAGGCAGCTGTGTTTGTCAATTGTTATGATATTTTAATTACTATATCTTGTATCTGCCAAGCAATCATGACACCCAGTAGCCATACCAGTGTTGCTGAAAGTGGCACGAAGAGGTATAAGCACTAAGTCTTAGAATTAACAAAGATATTAAAACAAGTGATAACCTGTAGCCGTAATTGAAGTGTTGCTTTGTACACAGAAAAACAGGCTAACGTGAGTTTGTGTGACTGACTGACTGAACTGACTGACTGACTTACTGAATGAGTTGACTGACTTACTGAGTGACTTGACTGACTTACTGAATGACTTTACTTACTGAATGACTTTACTTACTGAATGACTTGACTGACTTACTGAATGACTCGACTGACTTACTGAGTGACTTGACTGACTCATTGAGTGACTTGACTGGCTTACTGAGTGACCTGACTGACTTAGTGAGTGACTTGAGTTACTGAATGACTTGACTGACTTACTGAGTGACTTGAGTTACTGAATGACTTAACTGACTTACTGAATGACGTGACTGACTTATTGAGTGACTTACCTGGAGGTTACCTAGAGGTTATTCCGGGGATCAACGCCCCCGCGGCCCGGTCCATGACCAGGCCTCCCGATGGATCAGGGCCTGATCAACCAGGCTGTTACTGCTGGCCGCACGCAGTCCAACGTACGAGCCACAGCCCGGCTGATCCGGCACTGACTTTAGGTATCTGTCCAGCTCTCTCTGGAAGGCAGCCGGGGGTTTATTGGCAATTCCCCTAATGCTTGATGGGAGGCTGTTGAACAGTCTTGGGCCCCGGACACTTATGGTGTTTTCCCTTAGTGTATCAATGGCGCCCCTACTTTTTATTGGGGGCATTTTGCATCGCCTGCCCAGTGTTTTACTTTCGTAGGGAGTGATTTCTGTGTGCAGATTTGGGACCATTCCTTCCAAGATTTTCCAAGTGTAGATTATGATATATCTCTCCCTCCTGCGTTCCAACGAGTACAAGTCAAGTGCTTCCAAGTGTTCCCAGTAGTTAAGGTGCTTGACAGAACTTATACGTGCAGTAAAGGATCTCTGTACACTCTCTAGATCTGCGATTTCACCTGCTTTGAATGGAGATGTTAATGTACAGCAGTATTCCAGCCTAGAGAGAACAAGTGATTTGAAAAGGATCATCATGGGCTTGGCATCTCTCGTTTTGAAAGTTCTCATTATCCATCCTATCATTTTCTTTGCACGTGCGATCGTGGCACTGTTGTGATCCTTGAAAGTGAGATCCTCAGACATTACTACTCCCAGGTCCCTTACATTAGTTTTCTGCTCTATTGTATGGCCGGAGTCAGTAGTATACTCTGTTCTAGTTATTATCTCCTCCAGTTTTCCATAACGGAGTAGTTGGAATTTGTCCTCATTGAACATCATATTATTTACCGTTGCCCATTGGAAAACTTTGTTTATGTCTTCTTGGAGATTAACTTGACTGTAATAATATTATATTATTATTATTGCTGAGAAGAAAAAAATTATTTCCATGGAATTAAAGCATGAAATCATAAACAAGTGAGGTGTCCAGGTTTTGGGTTGAGGGGGAAGAGGGAGGGGGGAGCTGGCTAGTAACTCAAATGTTGGCTCGTAACTATGAGCAAAAAATCGACCCAGGGATGGCTCCTATTTCAGAAAACTCGTAAATTGGGACACTCGTAAGTCAAGGTTCCACTGTACTCAGTTCTCTTGTACTCATTGTAACTTATCTAATGACCATATGAACTGTTATTGCCTTATTAATCTTAAGTTAATTTTAAGTTTGCCAGAAATGCTCTGCATACAAGGGGGCTTTTGGCATGTACACCCAACTATTATATTCCTTTGTACAACCATATATGTCAAAATAAAATTATTATTATTATTATTTTGTCCTGTGTAGGTCCCAGTTTGCTTTCATTGGGGAAGAAACTGGGAAAATTGAAGTACTACTATTTATGCAGTAATTTCTGTGTCAGACCCAATTAGCTTCAAGCCTTCTATGATGATAACTTGATAATGTAACTTTTTAAGCAACCTCAAGCTTAATATACTGGTGTATTTTAGGATATTGATTTCTCTGAGTTTAGAGAATGCCTCTTCATTTTAGCTTCAAAGTTGGTGTTTCTTAGTAGAAGGTATGAGTCAGCTTTGGGCTGTGTATGTTCTAATTCACCATTTTATTGAAGAAATTGGGATATTAGTTTCCATGTGATGACTAATTACTTTCTCTTCTTATTCACTTCTACTCTCCACCACTAATATTTAGCTGTATTACAGACTTATGCCACACTGCACTGTTCCAGTTGCATCCAATGAGGGACTGTGGTTATGCATTATTATTATTATTATTATTATTATTATTATTATTATTATTATTATTATTATTATTATTATTATTAAAGTGATAAATCTGCTTGGGGCATACAGTGAGGTTTGATTCAAAGAATAGGAAACTAGATTTAATTCTTTGGATGAGGAATCCCTCAACAGCATGGATGCATCCATCCTCCAGGAGTGATACTTTGTTGTTTGTCCTTAACGTTCCATGTTTGTATGTTTGTAGTATAGTGTTCTGTGTGTGTTTCACTCAGTTTGTGTTTTTTGCAGTATGGTGTTCGCTGATATAGTGGGCTTCACGGTGCTGGCCTCGCAGTGCACAGCGCAGGAACTCATCCGTCTCCTCAACGAACTTTTCGGCCGTTTCGACCAGTTGGCTGATGTAAGTAATTGTGATCATGTCTACTTTCATGAGTGTGTAACACTGTGACCATGGGACTGTAGGCATGATCAATTAGGAAGTGGTACTGTAATCTACAACTCTGATGAATTAGAATGTAATAAATTTACATGCACCAGGGACGAGAATGGTGAATATACAGTGGACCCCCGGTTAACGATATTTTTTCATTCCAGAAGTATGTTCAGGTGCCAGTACTGACCGAATTAGTTCCCATAAGGAATATTGTGAAGAAGATTAGTCCATTTCGGACCCCCAAACATACACGTACAAATGCACTTACATAAATACACTTACATAATTGGTCGCATTGGGAGGTGATCGTTAAGCGGGGGTCCACTGTATATTTGCAAAATTTTCAACCAAAAACCTAAAAACCCCAATCACAGTTGGAGTAGTCTATAGGTTACCTCACAAAAATGAACATTCAGTGACAACCTTAAAAATTTAATAATTGACACAATGAATAAACACCACCTAATACTTGCTGGTGACTTCAACATAAACCTCATCCAAACAGCTGACCTTCAAGTAGCCAACTTCATGAACACTATGAACAGCTGCTTACTATTATCATCTATAACTAAGCCAACAAGACAAGTGCCTCATTACTTGATCATATCTGGATCAATACTATATTGCCTCTCAAAGCAGGAATAATGACAGATGACACCACTTGCCTCATAACCAACATATATAAATTTCAACAACATGTATGTAAAATCTCACTTTGTCTCCATGATGATTCATCAATATAAGACTTTATTTGAGCATTAAGCGAAAGTGACTGACACAGAGAGTTAGCTGACAGCCACAATATTGATGAGTGTTAAAATATTTCTTAGAAACCCCTAAAAACCTCTAAGTCATTGTCCAATTAAAACTAAACAGATCACAGCAAAGTGAATAAACAGCCTATTGTTTACAAATAGCATCCTCAAATCCATTGATAGAAAACATCAATATGAAAAATAGTTCAGACTAGGTTTAATAACAAAAGAGCAGACCAAACAATGCTCATCAATACTTGATAATCTAATAAGGAAGTCCAAACAACTTTATTATGCAAGCAGATTTAACAAAATAAAAGGGGATATGAGAAAGACCTGGAAAATCCTCTCTGAAATCCTGGGTTCTTAAAAATTTTCCAGAAACAGAGATATAAACTGAACTAGATCAGAAGAACCTAACATCCAGCCTGCAGACACTGCCTACTATAGGATCAAAACTAGCAAGCAAAATCCCAATTATCCAAATTCTCTATATCTAGTTTCAACTAATTCTACTGAAGTCTTGCTCATCATAAAGTCACTGAAAAACAAGACAGGAAACCTAAATAATTTTAAACCATTAATGTGTAAAAAAGCATCTCATGTGCCATCACCTAATGTTGCAAACTCTGTTCAACAAATCAATGAAATCATCTTTCCTATCCATACTGAAGTTAGTAAGGGTTACTCTGATCTTCAAAGGAGGCAATCCAATTGAAGTGAATAACTATAGAATCAAACACAAAGTGGGAGTTGTCACAGTTGCTTTTTGCTGATGACACTGTGCTTTTGGGAGATTCTGAAGAGAGGTTGCAGAAGCTGGTGGATGAATTTGGTAGGGTATGTAAAATAAGAAAATTGAAAGTGAATATAGGAAAGAGTAAGGTTATGAGGATAAAAAGATTAGGTGACAAAAGATTGGATATCAGATTAGAGGGAGAGAGTATGGAGGAAGTGAATGTATTCAGATATTTGGGAGTGGACGTGTCAGCAGTTGGGTCCATGAAAGATGAGGTGAATCATAGAATTGATGAGGGGAAAAGGATGAGCAGTGCACTTAGGAGTCTGTGGAGACAAAGAACTTTGTCCTTGAAAGCAAAGAGGGGAATGTATGAGAGTATAGTTTTACCAATGCTCTTATATGGGTGTGAAGCATGGGTGATGAATGTTGCAGCGAAGAGAAGGCTGGAGGCAGTGGAGATGTCATCTCTGATGGCAATGTGTGGTGTGAATATAATGCAGAGAATTCATAGTTTGGAAGTTAGGAGGAGGTGCGGGATTGCCAAAACTGTTGTCCAGAGGGCTGAGGAAGGGTTGTTGAGGTGGTTCGGACATGTAGAGAGAATGGAACAAAACAGAATGACTTCGAGAGTGTATAAATCTGTAGTGGAGGGAAGGCAGGGTAGGGGTCAGCCTAGGAAAGGTTGGAGGGAGGGGGTAAAGGAGGTTTTGTGTGCAAGGGGCTTGGACTTCCAGCAAGCATGCATGAGCATATTTGATAGGAGTGAATGGAGACAAATGGCTTTTAATACTTGACGTACTGTTGGAGTGTGAGCACAGTAACATTTATGAAGGGATTCAGGGAAACTGGCAGGCAGGACTTGAGTCCTGGAGATGGGAAGTACAGTGTCTGCACCCTGAAGGAGGGGTGTTAATGTTGCAGTTTTATAAACTGTAGTGTAAAGCACCCCTCTGGCAAGACAGTGATGGAGTGAATGATGATGAAAGTTTTTCTTTTTTCAAGCCACCCTCCCTTGGTGGGAATCAGCCGATGTGTTAATAAAATAAAATGACTATAGCCCTATATCAAACTTGCATTTACTATCTAAACTCTGAAAAAATAATACATAAGTGAATTCACTCCTTCCTAATATCTTGTAATGTACTTAACCCCAGCCAGTTTGGATTTAGGTTGAAAAAAAAGTATGAATGATGCAGTTGTACAAAAGCTTGAATTGCTTTATGCAGCACTTGAATAAAATGAATATTCTCTGGGACTCTTCATAGACCTGCAGAAACCATTTGATACAGTGGTCCACAAAATCCTGCACCTTATATTAGATTATGGGCTCAGCGGACATACCCTTGCATACCTAAAATCTTATCTTAGCAATAAATACTAGTGTGTGTCTACAAACAGTGTAACCTCGTCAACTCAGCCTGTAGACATAGGAGTGCCCATGGCAGTGTCTTTGACCCTCTGATCTTTCTCATTTATTTCAATGATCTCCCCAATGCATCTCATTTCCTTAAACCCATTCTGTTTGCAGATTACACTATGTCTTTTCCTACTTAAATCCGACTACGCTTCAGTCGATGACTGCCAGCAAGTTTGTTGGCAGTTGATGACTGCCAACAGACTTGCTCTCAGTAAAGACAAAATGTACTACATGCTGTTTGGAAATAGAGCTTCAACTATCCAAGTTAACATATTGATCAGTGATTACCCATTACAAGACACACTGAGGCAAAGTTTTAGGTCTACACCTTGACTGCAACCTGAATTTTTATACCCACATCCAATACATAGCCAAGGTCTCCAAAACAGTAAGCATCCTCACCAAGATACAGTACTATGTACCCCAAATGACACTACTTACACTATACCACTCTTTAATCAACCCTTATCTCATCTATGATATTTGTGCTTGGGGATCTATGAAAAATCACCTTAAACTATTACATGTAATTAGGCAACAAAAAGCTACTATGTGGGCTGTCACCCATTCCTGTGCCAGACAACACACTCTCCTGCACTTAAAGAGTTTGAACTTACTTAATATACAAAATATGCACTCATATTACTGTGCCTAACATAAACCCTGCTGTGAAACTTCTTGATAACTACACCAACACACAAGCACTATACAAGACACAACTCTCTTCGACATCCCCTGTGTCTGCCTAATCCTGTTCAAGAAGCATTACATGTAAAAAACTCTAAGATCTGAAATTCATTGTCCAAACTAGTGAAAGGTCCCCTGTCTGCCACTCAGTTTAGAGCTGTTAAAAATCACCTCATCTCCCTAATGTAACTAAACCAACACTATGTTCTGCCAAACAAAGCCAGCTCATCAAACTCTGTCCGTGTTTTTTCCATTCTTCCTCAAACTCCCCTAGACATTTAATTGCTCATCTTGTTCCATTATGATTCTACAGAAACCTAATAACCTTCCTATTTCTTTACCATCTCTGATGGTGATCATTCTATAACCTGAAAACTGAGCCAGTTTGAAACTGCTGAGAAAATCTCAGTCAACTTAAGACTGATATTAATATATTAATGCATACTTAAAATTGTACCATTGTTCACTTAGCTACCTCACTTTTGTGCTTTAAAAAAAAGTACTCAGTAACTTATGCCTAGTTCTTAAGTAGTGTGTATGCATTAGGATCAGTCTGCCCAAGTTGCACCACATGTTAGTGGTTTTGTTTTGTGCTTAACAGTATTTTATTATATGTAAACTACATTTTGTATACTGCAAAAGAAATAAAATTTGTTTTATGTTTCATCAACGTAACTAACACTGTGACCATGTCTGCTTTGATCAGTGTGTAACACTGTGACCATGTCTGCTTTGATCAGTGTGTAATACTGTGACCATGTCTGCTTTGATCAGTGTGTAACACTGTGACCATGTCTGCTTTGATCAGTGTGTAATACTGTGACCATGTCTGCTTTGATCAGTGTGTAACACTGTGACCATGTCTGCTTTGATCAGTGTGTAACACTGAGACCATGTCTGTTTTGATCAGTGTGTAACACTGTGACCATGTCTGCTTTGATCAGTGTGTAACACTGTGACCATGTCTGCTTTGATCAGTGTGTAACACTGTGACCATGTCTGCTTTGATCAGTGTGTAACACTGTGACCATGTCTGCTTTGATCAGTGTGTAACACTGTCACCATGTCTGCTTTGATCAGTGTGTAACACTGTGACCATGTCTGCTTTGATCAGTGTGTAACACTGTGACCATGTCTGCTTTGATCAGTGTGTAACACTGTGACCATGTCTGCTTTGATCAGTGTGTAACACTGTGACCATGTCTGCTTTGATCAGTGTGTAACACTGTGACCATGTCTGTTTTGATCAGTGTGTAACACTGTGACCATGTCTGCTTTGATCAGTGTGTAACACTGTGACCATGTCTGCTTTGATCAGTGTGTAACACTGTGACCATGTCTGCTTTGATCAGTGTGAACACTGTGA